CAAGTGCACCCACCCCCCACCACATGCAAGCACGGCAAACACGAGCAGGGTCAGGGCATCGAGGCATGTATTAGCTCTAGAGTTATTACAGTTATCCATCTAACGGGCACGATCCAATAAACCATAGCTGATTTAATGAGCCATTCGCGGTCTCACCGTATTAAGGCCTGAACTGAGACATGCATGGCTTAATCTTTGAGACAAGCCTATGACTACTGGCAGGATCAACCAGGTACTTCTCACGCCACCACCGACGACAGCAACCGGATGACCCACTGACCCGCCGCCGAACGGGCCAACAAGACAGTGCGCGAGCGAGACACCACATGCACGAATGCCCAACCCGCCTCTCTGTACCCACACAGAAGCTCGCAACGGAGAGCCATCCACTCCCCTGGGCACCCGCACGCCTGCACATGCACGCGCACACACACACACGTGTGCATCGCATTCCTCCAGGATAGCGAGCACAACAGCACATGACACCAAAATTCGCATGTCAGGTAGACAACCACGCCACAACCCACATGACTAGACCTAACCGGCCCAGCCCACCAACATCGATACCACCAGGCGCCATGCGTCTGCCGACGCTGCACCGATGAGCTCGGCGCAGAGCAGCACACGCAAGCCTGCGCCTACCCGCATGCACATCCAAGTGAGCCCAACTCCCCATCACCCCGATGGTTGCCGACCCACTTGCCTTACACAGGACAAGCCAACCACCACCGCCACCACCTAAACATGGCACAGAGGCTGCCCCAACCGCTGACCAATCACACGCTGGGGGGAACCCCTCGACGCACAGACTGCAGACACAAGCAACTAGCTACCCGCACACACAGGGCGTGGAAGTGGAGGAAGAAGCGCGAGGCGCAGACCAACGCCCAAACGCCCACCGCTGCCACCCCTAGCACCCCAACTAGCACAAAAGACCACCCTAGCAACCGCCCGATACACCGTTGCCGGCACGCACCACCGGTGCCATTACAGCCGTCAAACCACCCCACTTCGCGCGCAAACGCGCCGCCGCAACACCGGCAGCAGCACAGCTCGATGCGATGTGCGTACAGCACAAACACCAAGCGGCATGCAAGACTGCAAAAAAAAACGCGGCGCCAATATTGGCAGCAGCAACAAATCGAGGCTAGCCTCACTAAACGTAGAGTGTGACCAAGGCCAGATTGCACGGGAATCGCCGCCAGAACTCCTCGCAGTCATGCATACGCTTTGACCACAGAAGCAGCGTCGCAGATGGCACCAAAGCGATGCCAAATGCCATCTGCGGCGCCGGAAAAAAACGCGTACGAACGCGTACGTTATCGCACCAGCGAAACACACAGACAAACAAGACTTTTCAGTAAACGAGGCTGTGCATAAAAAGCAAATTCTTCACCATCAAGAAAAAAGACCATCACTCCTATGCCTACATTTAATTACTACAATAACATGTCTACTTATATCAATTTAAGGCTGTCTGCAGATTCAATAAATTAAAGTTTCAA